GCAATGGGGTGGAAGGCAGGGCTGGTAGTGCTGATGCGATATAATAGTAGTGGCTTTAGTGACTAAAATTACGGAAATAGTGACGAAATAGTGACTTGTAAATACTTAATAAGTAACCATTTATATGGTAACTTAGAAATTCAAATACGGTTTATTGAAAAAAAAAACTTATTATGTAATGGAACTTAAAATCAAATTTCATAAACTCCTCTAAATTAATCGAATTTTACAACGTAATCTCCTGTAAAGTGCTTTTGAAGTGAAAAAAAAAACTTTTTTAGAATAATGTCCCATCTCTTAAACTTTGAGCCAAACAAGCTTTAACAAAAATAATATCGCATTCTTGAAATTCTTTGCAGAACAATCAACAAAATTCTTGGAAATAGATTATTTTCGTAGTTGGAAATGCTTAACATCAAATATCACAATTAAAGTGGACATTTTATACGATAGATGAGGAGATGAAAGTAAAGAGTTGATAGTTCCGTTATAGTAAGGCAGTGTGAAATTTGTATATTGAAAGTAGAAAGCGAACAAAGGACAATTTTGAGGAAGGTACGATTCGAGTAGAGCATCTCCTTTACCAAGCTCATCCGTTTTTGAGGCATGGTGAGGGGTGTTTCCCCCTGCCACCACTGGCAAAAGGGATGATCGCCGATTTGCTCATGTACCTCCGATGTGCGGAAACTGTTCTTTCGATTGTTTCACACTCAAGTCGCCATCTGACGTAAACAACTACCCATTTCGTACCTTCCTCAAAATTGTCCTTTACACGCTTTTTACTTTGTATATACAATTTGTACACTGCCGTACTATAACGGAACTATCAACTCTATAATTGAACCTCTTCATCTATCGTATAAAAATTACCACTTTAGTCTGTTATTTGAAATTAGCATCTTCAACGATTTTTTGTTGATTCTTTTAAGAACTCCCTGAAGGGGTCCTTCCATAAATCTATTTTTAATTTATTTGAATGCTCCTTAGAATTTCCATAAAATTAACCTCAGAAATTTAATAAATTTCTGCTTAGAATAATCTTAGACTTTTCCCCTGCATTCATTCTCCTCAGAATTCTCAAAACAAAAATCCATCACAGAATAACTTTGAAACTCTTCTCAAAATTTCTTTGAGATTGAACCCTCAAAATTCGATTCCATTGGAATTGGGTTCTTTAAGAGTATTGAGGTAAATGCATATTCGTAATCTGCATTAGAAATGGAACCCAAACCCAAAATTTCATCAATTTTGGTACACTGGAACTATTTTGAATAAGAATGATTACATTTGCAAAAATCAACTTATTAGCGCCCCTCGGTGTCACTTTGTATGGGAGCGAGCTGTCAGTTTGTCAGTTTAGTGTCAAACAGTGATGTTATTATTTTGCTTTAAATATTGATTTAAAAATCGAGATGAAAGTGTGTGGGTTCGAAAAAAATATCGCTGTGCTCAGAAAATGAAGCTCTTTCAGATGATATATAAAAAGCGACATATTTTTCAAAATTAAAGAACCCAATTTTTCTCGGAATTCATTTCGAACTCTTTAGAATTATCTTGGAAGTATCTTCAGAAATCACCCAGAATTCTTTTAGAACTATCCGCAGAGACCATCTTTGGAGTTCATGGAATTTTCATCAGAGTTCCCGCATAATCGTAAACAATAAAAGGATGATCCACAGTATCATTACGTACCATAAATAGGTATATCCGGACGATTCTAGTCAGCGTGTATAAAAATGATAAGCATATAATACCATGAATTGTCCTGAGGATACCATATATTGTAATATGCAAAACAACTATATGGGATAACGGCGGTTAAGTATAATTACCATTCCATAAGGTTGATATTTTAGAACAAAATTTCAGGTTTACTGTAAGACATATAGCTTTTTTATAATCAATTTTAATATCATAAAACTATATGTCATAACATTCTGGAACATTTGGATTATTAAATTTGGTTTTTAAAAGGAAAGTAAACGTTATACTCTGTAAATAGTTCATTGAGGTAATTTAACATTATGGTGTATTTTCAAGTTATATTCAAACGAATAAATTCCGTAAGGGTTTACCATATCCCATATAGTTTGTATTTATTCCTTTTTCTTCGATCAGGGACTATGACTGATCTTAACCTTACAACTACTGACAGTATGGTACCATTATTTAAGTGGTCTGCTAGTATAGTGGTACCATGTTGACAGTAGATGTGAGATCGAATTCAGCCAAAGCTAACGATTCATTGTGTGTAAAAACAATTTATTTCATTGGCAACTAATTTATTCTTCACACAAACACAAAAGTAAAAAAACTTCCGAAAAAAAAGCTTTCAGCATTTTAAGCTTCATGATATTTCGATACCCAATCAACTGTCAATTCTATGACCGCGCCTTGTCCGTCTGTTTTCGGGTGTATTTCAGGCATTTGCTTACCAATCAGGTCCAGCCTCGATCCAGCTCTTCGCTGCCGTCGCCCAGAATATCCTGTAAGTCGATTT